AAGTCTAACTCTAATACACTGTAATGTTGCTGAACTGAATTTTCAACTGTTTGAAAAATAATAAATTGTATTAAAAATGGAGGAGTCATTCTCTGGATGTTGATTTTGAAATTGTAAGAGAAGTGATGGTTGGTGGCCAGGTGTGGTAGCTCACACCTGTAATCCCAGCACTTTGGGAGGCCAAGACAGGTGGATCACTTGTGCTCAAGAGTTTGAGACCAGCCTGGGCAACATGGTGAAACCCCATCTCTACAAGAAAGTAAAAAAATTAGCCAAGTGTTGTGGTGTGACTGTAATCCCAGTTACTTAGGAGATGGAGATGAGAGGATCACTGGAGCCTGGGATGTGGAGGTTACAGTGAGCCATGATCGTACCACTGCACTCCAGCTTGGGCAACAGAGTGAGACCTTGTCTCAAAAAATAAACAAATAAATAGAAGTTGTGGTTGGAATTGTGTATAAGGATGAGATACACAAGAGGCAGGTCTGAGTGGTAAATATTTCCATATGAATGTTCTATAAGCACCAAAATTCCAGTGTGTCCAAAATTGAATTTATTTTTCTCTCAAAGAATGCTTTCTGCCTCCTCTGAATTCCGTATCATGAATAATCTCTTACCATCCAGGGCAGGCATTTGAGGGGGTCATATTTGTTCTCCACATTTACCTTTATCTAGTATATACTTCCATTCTTTTGGTTTTAACTTGTTCTCATCTCCTTAAACCAACCTTTTCTCCATTGACACTGTTACTGTTTTAACTGAGAAAGTCATTAACTGTCTCTTAACTGGACTCTCAGTTTGTCTTCTACCAATACAGACCTTTGTCCTTCTGATGCACAAATTTGGTCATACTTTCCTATTAGCATTAAAGTTCTTAGCATGAACACTTTAGCATGGCAATCAAGACCTTCCCTGAAGAGGCTTCATCTTTGACTACTTTGCTTTGTGCCTGACATTTCAGTGATATGAGACCACCAATTCTCATATTGTCATCTTGTTTCATACTTCTTTGCTTTTTCATACTTTCTTTGCTTGTTGTATACTTCTTTGCTTTTTCTCTGCCTTGGATCTCCTTAGTCTGCTTTGCGAACTCCTGCTCTTTTTGCAAATCCAAGTTCACTGTAGTATCTTCACTGCTTCCTGGCCTCTTTCCCTTTCATAGTGGCTTAATTCTCTGAACAAAGATGTCTCTTCCAAAACTTCATAATGTAAACATTTGCTTCGTTTTGTTTTCTTGACAGTGAACTCCTTGAGAGGAGAGACAGTCTTTTTTAACTTTGGACTGGAACACTTAGTACAATACCGAAATATGTACAGCCTGATAGATGTTTTGCTCAGGCATCCTTTCCAAATATAAATGTATTGATAATTCTCAGAACAAATGATCAGAAATGGTAGAGTAGATGTTTTACTGTTATTTCTTAGTCTGATGATTACTATATTAAATTTAGTCCCTGAATGTCTCAGTGAATAATCTTTTTATTTTATTCTGCTGTTTTTTGTTTGTTTGTTTTTTGTTTTTGGGACAGGGTCTTGCTGTTTTGCTCAAGCCAGGGGGTTGGTGTGCAGTGTGCAGTCATGGCTCACTGCAGCCTCAAAGTCCTGGGCTCAAGCAATTCTCCTGCCTCAGCCTCCTGAGACTGAGATGGGACTCAGGTATGTACAACCACGCCTGGCTAATTTTTAATTTTTTTTTTTTGGTAGAGATGAGGTCTCTCACTGTGTTGCCCAGGCTGGTCTCAAACTCCTGGTCTCAAGTGGTCCTCCCATTTTGGCCTCCCAAAGCATTGGGATTACAGGCATGTACCACCATGCCTGGGCTAAGTGGAAGGTCATGATTACTAGCTGACTTTACTACTGGTTGCTTTACAGCCTCTTTTCAACTTTTTTAGTATGCTTACAAATATTCTTAAAGATTACATTTCTAACATTAGCATTGAAATTTTTGGCTTTTAAATGTCATCAGAAAGAAAGAATGTGGCCTAGCTGAAATGAATCTGAATATTTTTCCCCTTACAATTCTTCCCCTCACCCCATGGTATGTTTATGGTGTGAATGAAACTTCAAAGGAACATACTACTATAAGTGAGCCAGAATGTTAAATTTTGTATGGATTGGCTGGGCGCAGTGGCTCATGCCTGTAATCCCAGCACTTTGGATGGCTGAGGCGGGCGGAACACCTGAGGTCAGGAGTTTGAGACCAGCCTGACCAATATGATGAAACCCTCTGTCTACTAAAAGTACAAAAATTAGCCAGGCGTGGTGACATGCTCCTGTAATCCCAGCTTCTTGGGAGGCTGAGACGGGAGAATCGCTTGAACCTGGGAGGTGGAAGTTGCAGTGAGCCAAGATCATGCCATTGCATTCCAACCTGGGCAACAAGAACAAAACTCCGTCTCCATAACAAAACAAAACAAAAATTTTGTATGGATTGCTCCTAAGACGTGCAGAAAAATGCAAATAGGGCTATTTTAGTCTTTAGAGGAAAAAGCTTATCCTGTAGAAATACATCAGAAAGATCTATTTCAGCAGGTTTTCATAGAGGGGAAAAATTATTTACTTGCAATCTTGATCACTAATGATGTTGAAATTGATCACCAGTCAGTCCTTCTGTTCTCTTTTCATTTAAATTTTAAATAGTGTTTGCTATAAATACTACACTATATTTTTCTATTAAAAATTACTGTAACATTCACAGGTGAAAAGTATAATTACCTAATGGCGGGTCATTAGCTCAGAACTTTGAGCTTAGCAAATTTCACTGTCTTCTACCAAAGTAATTGAATGTCTAAAATAATGACTATTTCAGCAGGTATCTTTAGTAAATAAGAATTATAGGTAAGACAATTTTTCTTTTCTAAAAGTATTAATGATGTGTTAGTAGTTGTATTGAAATTTATTAATCTTAAAGTATACTTTTATAGTTCAAAATTTTAGTGTGCATTTTAGTGATGCATTTTATAATTTAAAATTTACTGTGTGTTTTTCTAAATATTTTTAAGATTTATTTTTCTGAAGGTGTTCACTAGTTATTACGATTCTGTTCCTTAAAGAGAGTACTAATAAGGTAAAAGGCACAAAACAAGATTGAAATCATAGGCCTCTTAATGCAAGTTATTTCAATAACTTACTGTGTTCTCACCTACCAGTTTCTTGCCAGTACGATAAAGAGTAATAAAAATCTCTGTCACCAACCCCCATCGCAGGGATAGCAAGAGGACTGCGTTTCCTCTGTTGAAATACCAGCAGTAATGAACATACTTAATGGGGCTCGTTTTAATAGCTGCATACAATTAATGTATTATAATAGGCGTATACTAAAATGATTAGCATGGTAATATTTCTTTTATAAGAATATAAAAGGTCTTACTTTGATAACATTTACAACGATAAGCTGAGGGAGAAAAATCTTTTATGAAATATTTAAACTGTTCTATGACCAATTTGTTTTTCAAACTGAATTTAAAATGACTAAATGCTTAGAAATAAAAATGAGTTGTAATATACACATTTATTTCAAAACTTCATTAATTTGCTTTTTCATGCTTTTTGCTTTTTTAGACTAATGTTTCACGTTTTCTTACTACTTTATAACTAATTTTATTCTTAAAACTTATTTTCCTTTATACTTCCTTAAACCAGTGAAGTTATACTGTATACTTGATGTGATCTCATCTTTATAAGTATTGTGCACAATTAAATACTCGAGACAATTACAAAATCTTTAGCCCCCAAAATGATTGACATTTGTGTCTTTTGTCAATTTTTTGTGCAAGTTTTACTCATTTCAGTTGGCTTAACAAGTTGGTTGTAAATTATTGTAGTGCACTGCCAATATAGTGGTTTTACAAAGGACATAATCTATTTTAAGTAGCAGTTTTGCCTAATAACTAAAATATAGATAAGTAATTTCATATAGTTAATTATTAATATTTAGCAAAGTATTAACATTTATAGCCCTAATTTTAAAAACTGTGCCCTCAAAGGATGGATAAAGAAGGAGGGTTTTGCCAAGTCTGTGTCATTCATTAGCCATAAGGGTAGCTTTTAGGATGGCTGACATTTCTATCCTATTAGATATCTTTTTTTTGTCAATGAAATTTAAGATAATATAGTTGTTGCTTATGTTAAATATATTATTCCTTAGGTATAGCTATTAAGCCTTCATAAAATTATGTATCACTTAACTCCTGATTAATGACATTTCACATCAGATAGGTACCCTACTTACACAGATTGAAATTGAGTTTAATATATAATATCACAAATAATATTTAGTCATTTCTGCAGGTTCTAAAACAAAGATCCTTTGGATAGGCTAGCTCCTAGATTAACTTGATTATTTTACAAGATTTTCTGGATGCCATATACCTTTGTTAATGTTTTAATAAGTTATAATTAATATTTTTTGAAATCAATAAGTTTTAATATTTGAGCAGTGCTTATGGAAGTTTTAAAGAGAATATATTCCTCAAAATTCTAATTATTTCTGTGATTTTACTGCCTCCGGAGTAAGTTAATTATAATATATATTTAAGTGGCATTATCATGTTGAATTTCACAATAGATAAAATATTTATCTTTTTTCACTTTTTAAGTCCCGTAATCATAAATACTGATGCATATTACTTATAAAGCATATAACCTGCTTTTAATTTTTAAAGAGTAATTCTTTTTTTGAAGCTGTTTTACTAATATGTATGTCTTTTATTTTAAATTGTACTTAGCAAAGAGAACATTTCTTAAGTGCCCTTGTTTTTAGAGAACAAGGAAATATATGTCTTTATTGGTTTAGCACATTTATCGAATCTACTATTTAGTCTCATACGTTTAACTTTTACCTTAAGACATTTACAGAGGTCAATTTACTATTAAAGTATAAAATGTACATTAGTTTCGATCTACATTTTAATTATTTTAGGCTGGCAGAGAAAGAACTGTTTCATATTTTACCATCGTACGTATAAAATAAAATATTCAATACTTATCTTGTTTTCAAGATTAAAAAAAGAAGCTCCCACAAAGGAACAAGAACCTGTGTCTAAGGTAAAGTTTGTTTTACTTTATACCTTAAAGGTTTATACATTGAAAGTATTATTGGTATGATATAAAAATGTTTTTCAATTTCAGCATGCATACATCAACAATATTTGGGATGTTGTAAGGAAGAAAATAATTGAGATTTAAAATTTTTCATTACATATAAAAATGTCTAGCCCTAAGTAAAATTTTAAGGTATTCTTGTTTTGACAAAGACATCTTTTATTTCACTTGCCTGTTATTTAGTTCAACTAGTGAGTAATGGAGATAAATTTATGAATTAAAAATCCCCAAATCAAGAAAACGTCAGTCATTTGGCACACTGGAAAAATTAATCTTTCCAGGTTTAATTTTCTGGGATAATTTTTAACTGTCAAAAGGTTAAACTAATTTTTAAAATAGAAATATTTTGAATGTATGTTAAATATATTTTAGCTATCTTGAACAAGTACTCTGAATGCAAAACTCAGAATTATCATATAAATGTTATTTACCGAACAGTCTAATAGATGAGTGTAGAAATAGTTTTGCTGAACTACTTGCTTTCTTGATGTCAATTTATGTTGTTATTACTTAATGACTGCCTCTTTTTGAGTGTAATGAAGTGAGGTAGACTTGGCATTTATCTTTTGAAGACTTTGTCTTGAATGGTGCATAATGTAAGTGAAATCCAGACAGAAGTATCAGCCTTCTTCCAAGCAGCTTTCTTTTGTACCATAGGAAGTTTTTTGTTTAAAAACTTTTTAACTACAAATTTCTTTAACAGATGCAGGGTTTTTTAAAAATCTATTTCTTCTTGAGGGAGTTTTCGTAGTTTTTTTTTGAGGAATTGTTTCGTTTTACCTAATATGTTGAACTCTATAATCTTATGTATTTGTATAATGAGAAAGTTTCTTATAGTATCCCTTATTGTCTTTGTAATCTTTGGAATCTGCAGTGATATCCCCTCATTCCTGATATTGACAATTTGTGTGTTTTTTCTATTCTTACTGTTTATTTTACTTTTAAACATGTTGTAAATACACAGAATGCAGTGTTACAGTTTTTACTTTAGACAATTTTTTTTAGGGCAATTAAAAACTTTAAAATTAGCTTTATATTTACCTTTATTTTTACCATTTCCTGTGCTCTTCATTTCTTTATGTAATCTTCATTTCTATTTATCACATTTACATTAAAAATTCTGGCCAGGGATATAATGGAGCAAATGTTTCAGGTGTATACAGGGGTATACAAGCCAATGTTTGCCCCCAAAATAATTATACCAAATTTGTTCCTTGTTTAACTCATCATAATTTAACAGGAAAAAATGCTGTATTCTGTGAATTTAAATATGATCAACTTTTTTAGTATTGTACAAAGGATATATATTTTAGGGGCAGGGGGATTTGGTGAGCAAACGGGATATTCTTGTCTGGTCTAAAAACGACATTAAAATCACATATACTTACCTTATGAACATCAAGATAAATGCAGTTGAGACACTTTGCACACAAAGATGATTATCAAATATTAAGAGATATAATATCAAATGACAAAATACATTATGCTGAAATTGAAAGCATATTGGTACAAATAGATTACAGATTGTTATGCAGATTGTCTGTATGTATATTTTGAGCCAAGTGGAAGAAGCTAAGGCTTTACAGTCAGTAAACATGACTGTATATAAAGCTACACACTTAATAAAAATCCTATCCCTTTACTTACAATTGAAGGTAATTTTGAAAGCGTATTTGATGAACATAAAACTTGAGCAAGAGATAATGCATATTCTTCTCAAATTTGAAAATAAATGAAAAAAGTAAACAAATGAGAAGTGCATGAATCACTGGGTGAAGAGTATTGATAATTATGAGGGCAGTGCTTATTAAATAGAAATGAAGATTATAAATGCCCTAATTTCATATTTTATATAGAGAAAAAAAATTCAGTGAAATGTTTTCAGATTTTGAATTTCTAAACTGGAGAAAAGTTGTTTTGTATAAATACATCTGATTTACAAAAACGAGCCACTAAGTTTGCACTTAAATATTCTGACAATTTAAATTCTGTAGAAATTCTATGTGAAATAGTTTAAAGCAGCATTTGATATCAGTAACATGCAATCAAGTTTGTGTTTGGGTCTTCTAAATCTTCTTAAGATATTTTGCTTAGTGCAATCTTAAAGAGATTTGGAAATGGTATTCAGAAATTTTAAACAATTCCAGCCACAGTGGAATCCTGCAAATGAAGCTTACTGTAAACTGAGGTTAATATAACATTTTTTAATGATTGTCACTTGTTCAAGAGAAATTGTTGTACATGACAGTTTGCTCATTTGAAAACAAAATAAGAAAAAAGTTAGATTTGAAAATGTACTATTGATGCATTTGCTTCCATTAGCCAGGAGAATAAAATAATACTGTTTTTGGCATAAATAAAATTTTTAAATTTAAGCTAATATGAGTTTAATTCTCGACTTTTAAATTTTTCAATATTTTTCTGACTAACATTCTAGAAAACAGTTTTTTTAAGTACACAAAAACAGGCTGGGCACAATGGCACACACCTGTAATCCCATCACTTTGGAGACAGAGGTGGGAGGATTGCTTAAGTCTAGGAGTTAGAGACCAGCCTGGGAAACAAAGTGAGACCCTGTTGCTAAAAACAAAAAACAAAACAAAAACACACCGCACACAAAGCAAAACTTATAGGGGCATTCATTTTTTCTTTTGCCTCAGGCTCCAATATGGCTTGGTATAGCACTGATTGCAAAATAGTTACATCAAAATTTTTGAGACTGTTATGCTGAGCCAGAAAATACCCCATGATTTCTTTTCCTTTTCTATACTTTATTTTATTTTTCTGGAGTTAAAAATATATATCTCTTTTACTTGTTTGTTTAGTTTTCTGTGTACCTAATGCTGTATTTTTTTCTAATGTTGCAATTTCTCTCTCTAATATTTGGAAATAGTTTTTCCAGTATTCACACACATAAAAAAAAATTGTTGGGGGGTGAAGGGGTCTGAAGATCTCCTCCCAGACTCCCCACCTCAACTTAAACCAGTTGCTCTCTAAGCCTGTGCTTAGTTTTGTTACGTCAAGATTATCCTTTGCCACTCTATTGTGTTGGATGTCCTGTTTGCTGAACCGTGAATTATTCCTCATTTCTTGGCTTACTCATCATTTTGATGAATTGTGTCCTCTACTAGCTGCCTCAGAAGGTGTGCATCTTTTTTTCAGTCCAAAAATATCTAAAAAATATTTATCCGAATGATAATTTGGCTGAAGTACATAAAAACAATTCTCATGCAGTTTTTAAAATGTTTTTACTATCTTCTTATGTCCAGTATTTTTATTAAGTCTAATGCATGTCTTGCTCCAGTTTCTTGGTATTTAGGTTACTTTTTTTCTTTTTGGAAACTTTAGTGATTATCTCTGTCACTGGTGTTTTGAAATTGCATGCTATGTTCACCCATCCTTTTTTCATTCATTACATTAGGCATCTGACAAACCTTTGGAGTTTGGAAATTTCTGTTTGGGAAAAGTTTTCTTGTTTTATTTCTTTGGTAAATGCTCACTTTTTTTTTCTATGCTCTCTCTTTTTTTTAAGAAACTCGTATTATTCTGATATTGAGCCTCCTGCATCAACTCCTTTTTTTTTTTTTTTTTTAGCTCCTTTAATTATATGTTATTTTCTTTATGGCCTTTCATCTTTTTGTTTTTTTGTTTGAATCTTTTTAAATAATTTTCTAAACTTAATTACTTATTTTAGTTGCCATATTTGTAATTTTGAAGAGCTCTGCAATTTTTTATTTGTTCTTTAGTTCTCTTTTTTACAGTTTTGTTATTATTATTATTTTTAATTTTTTTTATTTTTTGAGACGGAGTCTCGCTCTATCACCCAGGCTGGAGTGCAGTGGTGCGATCTCAGCTCACTGCAAGCTTCGCCTCCTGGGTTTACGCCATTCTCCTGCCTCAACCTCCTGAGTAGCTGGGACTACAGGCGCCCGCCACCTCGCCCTGCTAGTTTTTCGTATTTTTTAGTGGAGACGGGGTTTCACCGTGTTAGCCAGGATGGTCTCGATCTTCTGACCTCGTGATCTGCCCCTCTTGGCCTCCCAAAATGCTGGGATTACAGGCTTGAGCCACCGCACCCGGCCAGTTTTGTTATTATTTAATAGATATAATAACATATACCTCTTTGGGGATATTAAATATTTTATATACACTTTTTTCTTTTGTTCCCAGCAGTGTATCTGATGTCTCCAAGCCCCTTTCTTTATTTCTTTTTATTTTGGTATTTTTCATGTTAAGGTGTATCTTTTGTTATGTGGTGATCCTTGCCCGCCCCTACGTAATTAAAGAATGAGGCTAAAATAATCATTGAAAACCATAAGTGTTTGAATGGGGACAGGGCTCTCTTGCATAGCCATTCAGGTTGAAGAATGCAGAACTCCTGCAGATATTATTTACGTATATCCTTTGTAGTCTCAAAAATTACTAATGTTTACCATATTAGAAATTGAAATAATAGTATTTTAAAACTATTGTCAAAAATAAAAATAATAAATATATGTCAACATACATAACATTTTTTCTGAAAAATAACTATTTTCCAAAACAACAGAAATTTAGTGAGAAAGAATGGCTTTATTTTACACTTTTGCATGTTTCTTTAATGTCAAGCTTTGTAGAAAAAAATTGTATTCTCATGTTTCTGAATCTTTAATGTCAAGCTTTGTAGAAAAAAATTGTATTCTCGTGTTTCTGAATCCAATCTGTTGTGATACATTCTTTTGGTTGAAATGTATGAGGAATACCCGGCCCCACCCAGTACTTTAATAATATTTTCCAATAATTGAGGTTATTTTCCTTTGATACTACATCAAAAGTAGACAAGTGGAAGTTTTCTTGCTTGTTACACTGTGGAATCTAACTCCGTATCACTGACCTTTTTTGCTTTGTTACATCAAAATCTGTTTGTCTGTTTTACAATTTGAATGGATCTTTTATCCATGCCTAATTTTGTAATATCATGCATTGGTCATTTGGAACATATTGGCTCACTAAGTGCCCTAGATCTTCCAAATGTTGAAATATTTCATTATATAATATCAAGTACTCACAGTATATATTAGCATTCATCTAATCAGTGGTAGATAGGAGTTTTTGCTTAATTTTGTTACTGGAAACGAATGCTGTCAGTTGTTTTCCTTGATACGACAGGCTCACTTCGTTGATTTTTCAAAAAGAAAAAGTCCACTGAAACTCAAGTCTAAATATTCATAATTTGACAGTCATTCTTTAAAATAAAAATGGTGTTCTATGAAAAAATGTAGGTAAGTACAACTCACGACTCAATCACAGACCCAAATATTTTCAGTAGGCAACAGTTGTATCTTATGCGTACTTTGCATTTTGTCACACAAAATATTAAAAAGATATGAGCTCAAAGATTGAGATTTAGTAAAATTATTACTTTTTAAAATTTGTGTCGGTGTGGTGTGAAGAATACTATGTGTATGGTGGTGAAGGATGCAATGACTACTGGTACAGGTTGGGTTTGGTGCTCCTGCCTTGAGTTATATTAATTAGCCACCAGTTTTACACACTACTGTTTTTATGCCAAAGTTGTGACTTCACATGCCTCCTGAAAGTGGCTTGGAATCCCCAGGTGTCCATATATCTTACTTTGGGAACGGATGATATGAATTACAGTTTGTTGCCTTCTGGATTTGTGCACTGTACAGTATACACAATCTGCATGAGAATTACGTAGACTTCAGTGTGGGAAAATTAGGTGCTGAGCTGACTGATTCTTTGTTGAGGAGGATGGTCTCAAAATCATTATGGAGAGGCCAGGTGTGGTGGCTCATGCCTGTAATCCCAACACTTTGGGAAGCTGATGCAGGAGGATCCCTTGGGGCTAGGAGTTTGAGAGTAGCCTGGGCAACACTGGAGACTTCGTCTTTATTTAAAAAAAATTTTTTTAACTAACCAGTCATAGTGAGCACATAATGTGTAGTCCTAGCTACTCAGGAGACTGAGGTGGGAGGATTGCTTGAACTCAGGAGTTCGAGGTTGCAGTTGAGCTATGATCATGCCACTACATTCCAGCCTCGGTGATAGAGTGAGACCCTGTCTCTTTAAAAAAAAAAAAAAAATCATTCTGGAAAATTTTTTCTTTGGGGTTGATCATTTTCTCCAGAGAGAAATCTAGCTTCTAGCTGAGGGTGCTAGGTTGGGGAGTGAGTTCTCTGGCTGTTGGCATTCTGGAAGCCAGGCACGGAGAAGAATTGTTATGTGGACTTCTACGAAATCTTTGCGTTTTCTCAGTATCTCCTGCGTGCCTTTTGCTGTTCCTGGTGTTCATAAGTCTAGACTATCTCCAGTTCAGAAAGTTAACTTTTAGGCCTGGCACGGTGGCTGACCCCTGTAATCCCAGCACTTTGGGAGGCCAAGGTAGGCGGATCATTTGAGGTCAGGAGTTCACAACCAGCCTGACCAACGTGGTGAAACCCTATCTCTACTAAAAATAAAAAAATTAGCTGGGCATGGTGGAATATGCCTGTAATCCCAGCACTTTGGGAGGCCGAGGTGGGTGGATCACCTGAGGTCAGGAATTGGGGACCAGTCTGGCCAACATGGTGAAACTCCATGCCTACTAAAAATACAAAAATTAGCCAGGCATGGTGGTGGGTGCCTGTAATCCCAGCTACTGGAGGGGCTGAGACAGGAGAATCGCTGGAACTTTGAAGGTGGAGGTTGCAGTGAGCTAAGATCGCACCACTGCACTCCAGCCTGGGTGACAAGCAAGACTCTGTCAAAAAAAAAAAAAAAAAAAAAAAGGAAGGAAGGAAGTTAAGAAGGATGCTAACTTTTAGCCTCTTTGGTAAGGGAAGGTATAGGTACCTGTTGTGTAAGCTTTGGGGAAGGAGCATTTAGATTTCCCAGCAATGCTTTGTTTTTACTTTTTGTGTACTAAATAGTATACTGACCACCTGCAAATACCAGATATTTTTGGTTCTCTGGGCAAATTGATTCTCTTCTCCTTGCACTCCTCCACTGCAGACATTCATTGTAACTTCCTCCATACTGCTAAGTCAGTACCAACTCTTCCAGTGACTTTCCTATTTCTAAAAAGTTGGTGAAATCTGTTTAGCAATTAGTATACTTTGATGTTTTCTTCATCTTTATGAGTAAAAATATTTTCTTTGCCCTCATTTTAGCAGGGTTTTGAGAGGGTGAGTAGATGAATGTGTGTGATAAATACACCATTATCAATTTTATAGGCTTGAGTTGATCTACCGTAGTGGTTAAGAGGTAGATGTAGATTTGAATCTTTACTACTAATTGTGGTATTGCCTTGGTTCTTTGCCAGTTATTGTGGTATTGCCTTGGGTTCCCACTCAGTCTTATTTCTCATGTATAAAAATAGTATTTATAAAATCTAATATGTAAATTAAATGAGATAGTGAATGTAAAGTTCTTAATACACTGCTTCATGCATCATATGTACTGCATAGCTGGTAATTGTTATAAGCTGTTAGGTTGGCCTATGGCTTACTGAGGTTTTACTCTTTTCTTTCTTCCCTGTAAAACATTTGAAATAAGTAGAATATTTCTTCCTTAGTGGACTGTTTCATATTTTTGGTTTGACAGTGAAAGGGTTACCGTGACTCACTATGAAATCATAAATTCAAAAATGTTTTATCTAAATATCTGTGCTTAATATATTTATATAAAATACTATGGAGGCATCTTGTTATTCAAATTCAAGTTGTGTTTTACTAGTTTTCTGTTTAAGTAATTGTAATTATGACCCACATTTGAAATAGCGGTTAAGAAAAGCAGATATTGACATGGGTGGGTAACTGCTTTTTTACCTTGAATCAGAAACTTTTGGTACACTGAAACTTTTGTAAGTTTAAAAACATTTTTAAAACCGCATATAATTATGATAATTATTCTAATTATATTTTATATTTAATAAATTATTTTTCTATTTCTGTGTTATATTAAGTTGCACACTTAAGTTTCTTTTATCCAGAAAGTTTAGCATAATAAAAATAGTTTTCTTTAAGATTAACTGTGAATGTAAAAGAAAAGTATTATTAATTATTTCAGGAAATTGGAAGACCTAACATGGCTGAAAGAGAAACAGAAACATCAAATTCTGAAAGGTAAATATAAGGAAAAAATGAGTTTCTTAAAATTCAAGTATACGAAATAACACTTGAGCTGCATTATTTCACAGTTAACTGGCAAAGGACTATTTAAATTTTTGTATATAGTGCTATTTTCTATAATGGCTCTTAATTAAAATAAAACTTAAAAACTTTAATCCAACAAAAATATTCTCTATATCCTTCGTTTTTAAATATTTTAAACATATAGAGTATATTTTGTGTTGTTAAATTTTTGAAAAACTACTTACTAGCAAGTAAAATGTTGGCAGATTTTCTTTGCCCCTATTAAATGAATACATTTACAAGATGCTACATGTTACTGGACAGGAACAGTTATTGCAAATAGATAATCTTAAGATTTTTTAAAGTATTTTCCAAAAGCTATAAGACTACTTATGTGGTAGGATTTCAATAGTTTCAAAATTCAGGGATTGGCTTTTAAAATTTTCATACTTTGGTAGAATGTTAAAGAACACAAGATGTTTCACAGTCTTTTAGCAGAAGAGAATCTGAACATTCCAATTAGAACTTTATTCCAAAGAAGGGTAATTTTATTTTGTCTTTTAAGTAATTTCACCCATTTATATCTGTATGCTATATATTTTACAGTAGGTTGCCTGTTAGTCTGTTGAGATTAATCTTTTGTCCCTAAAAGCAAATTATTAATTAAGTTCCTATGGAGGTGTTTCTTATACTTCATTAGTAAAGTGATCTCGCCCTTTCTTCACCTGGCATTTTTTGTAAGTTCTCAGGGGACTGTTAACAAAAAATCAACTAAAGAGTTAGAAAATGCGGACTAGTCATCTCTGTATTATGTAACGTTTTCTGTAAATTGTAGTTAGTCCATTATGATCTGAACAAAAATAAGAATTATACAAATTTGAAATGAGGAAAAAAATAATAGTTTTTCTATATGTGATTAGCCAGTTAAGATCCAAAAAATGAGTTAAGAATGATTGAAATTAATGAGAATACTGATTAAAGTAGCCTGGTGTAAAAATCAGAATCTTTCTAATCTACCACTAACATATGATTACAAAATATAGTGGACAAACTTGCCCAATCATAATGTAACAAAAATGATACAACTGATTGATCACAGCCAGTTGCAGAGTTCTTTGTTCTTTTTCCACTCCCACCACTTCGCTTGACTAGCCTTAAAAATATCTATATCTATATATAGAGAGAGAAATGGGGAGGATCCAAATCAAGAAAAGCAAAATTTTACCATGATAAAAAATAATATATTAACTGCATGATAGACTATTTTACAAATTAAATTATGAATTGAATAAACATTTATGGGATTTGTTTTGGAAACTGACAAACTTAAAAAAAGATTTATATTTTTCTACTTAGCAATACCATAACGTATTTCATCATTCCTTTCTTGTTGGATAAGATATTAGGTTTTTGGCTGGGCACCGTGGCTCATGCCTGTAATCCCAGCACTTTGGGAGGCCGAGGCGGGTGGATCACGAGGTCAGGCGTTCGAGACCAGCCTGACCAATATGGTGAAACCCCATCTCTACTAAAAATACAAAAATTAGTCGGGCTTGGTGACATGCGCCTGTAATCCCAGCTACTCGGGAGACTGAGGCAGAAGAATCACTTGAACCCAGGAGGCAGAGGTTGCAGTGAGCCGAGATCATGCCCCTGCACTCCACCCTGGGCGACACAGTGAGACTCTGTCTCAAAAAAAAAAATTAGATTTTTAATATTCACTATTTTAAACATTGTTTTAATGAGCTTCCTTGATAAATATCTTTTACATTTTTAAAGTATGAAATTTATGGGGAAGAGTTGTAGAATACAGGTGATTTGTTTAGTTCTAAAGTATATTGTTAATCAGTAATTGTTAGAACTGGGTGCTATTGGTTTAGGAATAGTCTAAAGACAAATCAGTAGAACAAAACAAATAGCAGAGAAATAGCCTTATGTAAATAACAATTTAGTAAATAATAAATTGCCTTTTGGAAATGTTGCTAGGATATTTGTGCAATTCATTGGGAATACGTCTAAATGTCAGATTGATTAAATGTAAGAAATAAGGTATATGTAATCATTAAATTTATTTTTGTAAAATAAGCATCCTTAGATCTAGATAATGGATTGGTGATCTTCTTAGAAATCTTGTTTCTCATATTTTATGGTTCACTAGATAGTTTCTGTTAACACATCAGGGCCAGAATAAACACACAGAAGCACACATATATAAATATATATGTGTACAAACATGTTCACACACTTAGATGTGTATGTATGTTATATATTTACATACAGTTTTTCAGGCATGTGTTTATGTTTTTAAAATTAGGCTATTAAAAATTAGAGAATATGTTTGAATGATTATCTGATTTTATGTATGGAAAAACATCCTAAACATAAGAGGCTATTTAAATCATAAAGGAGGCTGGACATGGTGACTCACACCTGTAATCCCAGCACTTTGGGAGCCAAGGCAAGAGGATTGCTTGAGCCTAGGAGACCAGCCTGGGTAACATGGAAAGACCTTGTCTCTGTGAAAAATAAAAAAATTAGCTGGGCTTGGTGGTGTGCGCCTATATTCCTAGCTACTTGGGAGCCTGAGGTAGGAGGATCACTTGAGTCCAGGAGGTCAAAGCTGCAGTGAGACATTTGCACCACTGTGTTCCAGTCTGGGTGACAGAACAAGACCCCGTCTCAAAAAAGAAAAAAATCATACAAAAATATAGATTTTTTCCAAATATATTTTTTTATTTTAGGTACTTTTGCAAGTTAATAAAAATACTTAAATTTAAACTAGAAACAGGCAAGAGATATGAACAGATGAACATAATGACAGCCAGGACTAAGACTAGTTGATAGACATCTTTTAGTATGTGACTCCAGAGTTTCTCAGAATCTTGCCTAAGAAAATGGCCTCCTGCTAAATTATACTGGCACAGCAAGGATGGGGAACTTGGACTTGTTTTCCTTTTTGATGGGCAAATGTACCTTGACTTTTTATTTTTTAGAGCATGTCTTTATTTTGATAGTGTTCAAAAACATTGCTTTATGAAGAAATACATAATAAATTACTTTATTTTTCAGTAAACAGGATAAGGCTGCTTCTTCAGAAGAAAAAAATGGATGTAATGCAAATTCATTTGAAGGCTCATCGGCAACAAAAAGTGAAGAAAGCCTAACAGTTTCAGATAAGGAAAATGAAACCTGTCTTGCAGACCAGGAAACTGGCTGCAAAAACATCTTCAGTTGTGATTCAAATATTGGTGCAGATAAAGTGGAAAAGAAAAAACAAATACAACATGTTTGTCAGGAAATGGAGTTGAAGATGCGCCAAAGTTCAGAAAACATAATCTTATCTGCTCAGATTAAGGATCACAACTCCAGTGAAGCCAGATTTTCTTCAAAGAATATTAAGGATTTGCGGTTAACATCAGATAATGTTAGCATTGATCAGTTTTTGAGAAAAAGAGATGAACCTGAATCTGTTAGTTCTGATGTTAGTGAGCAAGGCAGTATTCATTTGGAACCTCTGACTCCATCAGAGGTACTTGAGTATGAAGCCACAGAGATTCTTCAGAAAGGTAGTGGTGATCCTTCAGCCAAGACTGATGAAGTAGTGTCTGATCAAACAGATGACATTCCTGGAGGAAATAACCCCAGCACAACAGAGGCAACAGTAGACCTGGCAGATGAAAAAGAAAGAAGTTGAAATTAGTCATTTTAAGTTTCAGTGTACCAACGATAAGGGCATTTGGAACAGTGCTATCAGGTGAGCTCAGTGGTGCTTTTGTAGGTTCAGAAATGGAAATATGTAAGGGAGGTCACACATACACTTTACCTGTATGTTCAACCTATGTTATCAAATCAATTTGCCAATAATAGCATGATTAGTAGGGATTCCCAAGAAGTTATTAAAAACATGAACAAGATTTTAATGATAGTTACAGTTGCAGTGGAAAGGTCTCGTTTAATGGTTTTCAAGGAAATGGGATTTGGTTGCTGACATGAATTGATGATATTAGTTATATTTATAAAGCCTTTCAAACTTCCATCAGTCCTAAGCTAAAAATCCTTATTACTTATACATCCTTTTCAGTGAACTGAGAGGAAAAGATTTGGAAACCATGCACTTTTTGGGAGTAACTGATTTAAAATAATGGCTGATTGGCATTGTTAATGAAGGCTTTATTTTTTAGGATGATGCTGGTAAATGGAGCATGCTTAGAGTACGAAATTGACCTAATGAGAATTTGGATGAACATAAACTTAATTTTGGATTTAATATAACATTCCAGTCTGTCAGACGCATGTAAACAGAATATTTGAATCTTTGTACCTCCATACAAGTGTTAGCCTGCTAGGCTGTAAGCTTACCTTAATTAAACTTTCAGTGAAAGTGGAATTATTAAGATATAAATTTATATTTGTGCTTTTTGTCAGTGTGTAAGCTGTGTAGAAATTCTTCGATGTATTAGTTGTATTAATGTAAAGTAGACACCCATTGTTGAAACTCCTGTAGCTATTATGCTTTTAATATTGTTTTAATGATCTGCTTTAGAAATAGGCCCATAAAAATGGTCTGGAAGCCAAACCAAAGTATGGTATAATGTAGATATTGTAAAACAGTAAACTGAAAACATATCCTGGCATGTATTCAGCCATGTTTAAGTGACTTTTCTGTAATTGTAAAATAAAAACTTCAAATGGGACCTAAAACAGTGATGTAAAAAACTGGCTTTGGAGATTTAGCCTAATTTATCTATAAGATGGCTGCTACATTGATTTCTCAGTTTTTTTATCATCTAGAATATAATAGATATAGAAATGAATAATATGAAGAACAGTAGTTTGCTTTGAAGTACTAATAAACTTTTATTTAAAATGCTTCGTTTTTACTTCTTAAAATGTGCTTTGGATTCTTAAATTTTGTTTCACTGAATGTTCAATGTTTTAAATGGCGATTAAAACTCTGCTGTATATAGTAGTTTTTGAGTAAATATTTGCAATAAAAATCTGTCCCCGAATAATTCTATTTTTCCAATCACTGCTTGATTCAGATTACCTTTGGTGCCTTTAGAAATTATATACTTGTTTAAGAAATTTAATATCAGTGTTAGCGGTGAGGATTCCATTCTACGTTCTTTAACTGCTGATGCATTATTTTAAATTAGGACTTAAAGTACAGGGGACAATATTGCTAATATTTATTTATTTATTTATTTTTTATTTTTTATTTTTTTGAGACGGAGTCCTGCTCTGTGCAGTGGCCGGATCTCAGCTCACTGCAAGCTCCGCCTCCCGGGTTTATGCCATTCTCCTGCCTCAGCCTCCGGAGTAGCTGGGTCTATAGGCGCCCGCCACCTCGCCCGGCTAGTTTTTTGTAT